GGAGGGGTCTTCGCCTCCGTGAAGGCCGCAAATGTCAGCATTGGGGGCGGGGCCAGATAGGAGGGCGGGACCTGGCTGAGGCGATGGCCGGTAAGAGACGAGAACCGAGTTAGGTCAACACCAGAGGCAGGGCCAGGGCTCGAGGCAGGGCGTAACTGGGCTGGGGCTGCAGCTAGAGCAGACTGAGGGGGTCCCAACGCCGAGGAGTGGGACATAGACAGCCAGGGCGGAGACTGATCCGGGGGAGGGTCCCCAGCCCCGGGTTGAGAGAGTTGGAAAGAGGTGATGTTAAGAGCCCTTTTATGTGGCAGATCCAGACAGGGACCAAGTCGGGGCTGGAACCCAGTAGGGGAGCTTAGAAAACCTCTCCGTGTTTCTATGTCAAGGGTTTTTAATGCCAAAGATTTCTGCGGTGCGGGAGGGTCCGAGGGCCCTGGCCACTGGCAGGAGAGGCTTCAGAGCTATTTTCAAAGGGGAGGTGGGCTTGTGGGAGGGGTCTTTGGGATGTGACCAGCCAGAATGGATAGGGTCTCGAGTAGGACAGGAGTAGCGCCAGGGCAGGACTTTCCCCATTTATAAAATGAGTCTAAGAAGAGCACGTACCGTATTGTGAGAATTCAGTGGGATAATGCAAGACGTAATTCTCAACACACGGAATTTAACAGGTTTTTTTGAGCATGTTCTGCGTGCTCTTTTCTAGACCTTTGGGATGCAGTGGTGAACAGAACAGATGAGAGGCCCTGCCTCGTGGCCTTGATTTTTGCAGTGGGACTTTACATTTCTCACCATCAGCATTATCACCTTCAGGCCCTGGTGCGGTGATTGTAGCTGAGAGTCTGGGGCTTTCACTCCAACCCGTTGGGGGCCTCACTTTCCCTGAGAGTGTGAGGGGGCTTGATCTCCATGGCCAGTGAAAGGCATACTGGCTGAAGTGTCCAAGGCCCTGTGCTTGTGAGAGCTGAGCCTCCCCTTGTCCCCGCAGTGGTGTCAGACCTGTGTGCCACCGGGGACCACGACTGTGAGCAGGTGTGCATCAGCTCCCCAGGCTCCTACACCTGCTCCTGCCGCGAGGGCTTCACCCTGAACAGTGATGGCAAGACCTGCAATGGTCAGTGGGCTGGATGCAGGCAAGCCCAGGAAGGTGGGAAGGGGGTCGATGGGGCCTCAACTATTCCCCAGGAAACCCATCTGAGTCTCCCTGCACTTTGTCTCTGGACCCATCTTCAAAGTAGATAGATACCTTTTAGAGTTTGGTGTCTGCAGAAGGCTCTCTCCTCACTCCTGTCTCTTATTTTATTTTATTTTATTTTTGAGTTGGAATCGCACTTTGTCGCTGAGGCTGGAATGCAGTGGCATGCTCATGGCCTCCCCAGCATCGACCTGGTGGGCTCCGGCGATACTTCCGCCTCAGCTTTCCAAGTAGCTGGAACTACAGGCACTCGCTACCATGCCTGGCTGATTTTTGATTTATTGTAGAGACAAGGTCTCGCCAAGTTGTCCGGGCTGGTCTCAAACCTGCGGGCTCAGGCCATCCACTCGCCTTGGTCTCCCAAAGTGCTGAGATTACGGGCTGAGGCACCGAGCCCGGCCCTGTCTCCTTCTCTCTTTTTTTTTTTTTTGAGTTGGAGTCTCACTCCGTTGCCCAGACTGGAGTGCAGTGGCACGCTCCCGGCCACTGCAGCCTCAAACTGCTGAGCTCCAGTGATCCTTCTGCCTCAGCCTTCCAAGTAACTGGAACTACAGGCACGCGCTACCACGCCCAGCTAATTTTTTATTTATTGTAGAGATGAGGTCTCACCGAGTTGCCCGGGTGGGTCTCGAACCCGCGGGCTCAGGCAATCCACTCACCTCGGCCTCCCAAAGCGCTGGGATTACAGGCTGAGCCACCGATCCCGGCCCTGTCTCTCTTTTTAAACCCATGGGTGGTGGGTTTGGTGTGTTAGAAGGGCCAACATAGCCTCCAACTCAAATCCTGGTGCTGCCACTTCTGAGCGGTGTGATTTCATGGCCATTGGCGCTTCAGTTTCTTGTGCTGTAAATGGGGCCAGGAACCTTGGAGTTTGTTTTGTGGTCACGATGGATTGTTATGTCCTTAAGCGTCATCCTCTCACCTTCTTATACTCCCCAGTCTGCAGCGGTGGTGGGGGCAGCTCAGCCACTGACCTAGTCTTCCTCATCGATGGATCCAAGAGTGTGCGGCCAGAGAACTTTGAGCTGGTGAAGAAGTTCATCAATCAGATCGTGGACACGCTGGATGTGTCAGACAAGCTGGCCCAGGTGGGACTGGTGCAGTACTCCAGCTCTGTGCGGCAAGAATTCCCCCTGGGCCGTTTCCACACCAAGAAGGACATCAAGGCGGCTGTGCGGAACATGTCCTACATGGAGAAAGGCACCATGACTGGGGCTGCCCTCAAGTACCTCATTGACAATTCCTTCTCTGTGTCCAGCGGGGCCAGGCCCGGTGCCCAGAAGGTGGGCATCGTCTTCACTGATGGCCGGAGTCAGGACTACATTAATGACGCTGCCAAGAAGGCCAAGGATCTTGGTAGGTGCTGCCTCCTGGACCCTGGATGCCACTGCTGGCCAGGGGTACACATGGGTGTACAGGACTGTCATTTATCTGGGTGTCTTTTGGTTAGTGCCCTAAATGCAGGTGAATGTGAATGAGGACGGTTGGTTAGTCCAAGTCCCTCCTATACTGATGACAAAACTGAGGCCCAAAAAAGCAATTGACTCCTTTTCATGATCATTTTGGAGGTGAGGCTTGGAACTTTTCCAGCTGAACAGTCCCAAGAACACACCAACTATCAGAAGGCAACTCAAGTCCACTTTGGGCCAAACCTGAGCTCCAGTTTTGCCACCTATCAAATGGGGAAAACAATGACTACCAGATGGATGGGTATGAGGTTTGGACGAAGCTCTCAGTGCAAAGCTTCCAGTCCAAGGTCTGACCCATTGGCAGAACCTCAGTCAATGTTGATTTCCTCATTGTGCTTGTCCCAGGCACTCTGCTTGCAATTTCAGCAGCTGCCACCAGGAGGTGTCTAGTGCTGGTCACCTAGGCTTTCTGGGGGAGGTTCAGCCTGGCCTCCAGTGCCCTTGGCCAGCCATATTTGTCTCATTCTTCATGGCAGGCTTTAAGATGTTTGCTGTGGGTGTGGGCAATGCCGTGGAGGACGAGCTGCGGGAAATTGCCTCGGAGCCCGTGGCAGAGCACTATTTCTACACAGCTGACTTCAAGACCATCAACCAGATAGGCAAGAAATTGCAGAAGAAAATCTGTGTGGGTGAGTGAGGCCAGGCTTCATCGAAGAGGCGAGGTGGGGGCCTGTGGGGGGCGGGGTTGTGGAACTGGTACGGATGGGGAAAAGCAGGGACTGGAGGGGTCCCAGGAGTTGGCAGGACCAGGAGGTGGGCTGGCCAGTACAACTCTTACTGCCAGCAGACCTGTCATGGCACTGTTCAGACATGGATGGCACTGTTCTCAGTGTTCTCCAACACGAAAGCATCCCATCCTATTTGGTGGGGATGTCCATTTTACAGATGAGAAAACCAAGGCCAGAGGAGTAGAATAACTGTTGCTAGCTGAGGGAGCTGGGATTTGAACCCTGCTACCTCCCCCGGTCCTCCCGGGTGACCTGCCCGCTGGTTCTCCGTGGTTAGGAGTGTGAGCTCTAAAGCCAGAGGTGCCTGGGTTTGCGTCTTGCTCTGACGCTGTTGGCCACAGTCAAGTTGTTTCACTTCTTGGATTCTTCATTTGTAAAATGGGGTTAGTGACTTCAAACCCAAAGGGTGGGGGTGAGGAATCACTGAGATGACACAGATGCCCCTAATAGGGTCCTGCACATGGTAGGTACCCAGTTCAGGGAAGCTCTTGTCAAGTTCATTCTCAGGGCACTGAGGGAGCAGGAGGACTTTCAGGGTTCGCTCCTCCATCACTCCTAGGGGTGCTGTCTCAAGGGCTCTCTATGTCTCCCTGTCTTCCCAGACCCCCAGGCCTCTCTCTCCCCCAACTCCCCAGCCCTGGCCCTGGACAACCACTCAACAGCACCTTTCTCTTCTCCTCCTTCTTGTCCACTGCAGAGGAAGACCCGTGTGCCTGCGAGTCCGTGGTGAAATTCCAGGCCAATGTGGAGGGGCTGCTGCAGGCCCTGAGCAGGAAGCATATCCTTTTCCAGAGGCGACTGCAGGGTGCTGAAGGGGTGGGAGAGACAGGGTGGTGGGGAAGGGAGAGGGAGGCACTGTCGCATTAGGGTGGGCTCCTCCTCACCTGCCTCCTACTGAAGGAGGGCTGCATTCTGGCCAGATAGACCAGCACCAGCTTTAGTGCAGACTGTCTAGATGATAAACAGAGAAACTGAGGCAGAAGCCAAGCTCTAGGGACTGGACACACACAGAGTCCTGAAGATGCTCAGGAGAACATGGCGCCCTGTGGACTCTGCATATCTCAGGCTCATGGTGACACTTGGAGGTGGGGCCAGGCCACAGATAGGCTCAGCCAGGATGCACTGGGGACCCAGCAGGGCTGAACGTGCAACTGAGCAGGGAGTGGGACAGGGCACTCAGAATGCGCAGTAACAAGCTGGGGGTTTTGGGAAGCGCTGTTCTGAGGACAGTCGATGGGAAAGTTTTGACAATGGGGTAGACACATGCTGTGGGGGGTGGGGAGGAAAAGCCCTGGAAGAAGAGGAAGTGGGGTCCAGAGTGTGGGTCAGCTGTCACTGCCCTGTCCCAGTCAGCCTGCGTCTCTCCTTGACTCCACGTCCACTGGAAGCTGTGAGTAAGCGACTGGCCATCCTGGAGAACAGAGTCATCTAAGCTGCCTGTGCTTGCTGTGGCCCCTCCAGCTCTTGCCCAGTGGGGCTCAGAGTCCCGTGCATGTCCCCGCAGCCCCGAGTTTAGTCTAGCTTTGCCATTTTAGTGGGGGAGGCCAGCCTGGGAATGGGAGGAGGTATGTTAGTGTGCCTGCTGGGAACATATAGGGGCACGTGTGTGTGTGTGTGTGTGTGTGTGTGTGTGTGTGCGCGCGCCTGGGGGCAGGCGTGAGTCTGGGAGCTGGAACATGGGCATGAGAGTGAGGACATGGAAGAGTATGAGAGCGAGGGACTGTGTTTGCATTTTTCCAATCAAAAGCTTAATATATTCCTTTTTTTTTTTTAGTTAACCCTTTCTTGACTCCGAGGGTTGTGAATCTCTTTTCTGATTTCTCTATTCCCTGATGAAACAATTAAATGTGATTTAACTTAAGCACGGAATGGGGCTGGAGACAGTGTGGTTATTTGGGGACCAGGAGAAAGGATTGGCGAAGGTGGTGGGTGATGGAGTGTTTTAAGGTTGGTAACAGTGGTGGTGACAGTGATGACAACAACCACACCAAAACCAGTTCATATTTGTTGTGCTTTTTCTTTTATTTATTTAATTAAAAAAATTATATATATATATATATATTTAAAGACAGGGTCTCACTCTGTCACCAGGCTGGAGTGCAGTGGCTCTATCATGGTTCACCACAGCCTTGACCTCCTAAGCTCAGGCATCCTTCTGCGGCATCCTCTCAAGTAGCTGAGACTACAGGTGGATGCCACCATGCCCAGCTAATGATTTTTATGATTTTTTTTTGTAGAGACAAGGTCTTGCTATGTTGCCCAGGCTGGTCTTCAACTCTTGGGTTCAAGCAATCCTCCGGTCTTGGCCTCCCAAATTGCTAGGATTATAGGCATGAGCCACCGCGCCCAGCCTTGTCATGCCTTTTTGGTTACAAATTCATTTAAGCCCTCCTAGGAATCCTACCCAGAAAAGGCTTGAATCATTCCCATTTTACTGATGAGAAAGCTGAATACCCGAATGATGAAATAACTTGCTCAGTAGTGGGTCACTTGGAGAGACAGGCCTTCAATCCATCAAAAGAAAAAGGCATCGAGAAAAAGCAATGGCACCAGATAGGACTCATTTCTTCATTAATTTATTCATTCATTCAGGTATCCAATACTTACAGAGCATACCCTGGTGTCAGGCAGTGGGGAGATGGTGGCATGTGAGACAGATACTGTCCCTACCCTGCAGGGACATACAGTTGAGTAGTGTGCTCCTGTTACCCCCACCCTAGCTAGAGAAAAAGAGAGTGAGTTTAGGTTGTCCCTAATCCCAACCCCCTCTTGATATCTGGGAGCCCATGCAGTGAGTGTGTGTGTGTGAGAGGTGATGGGAAGGCTCCGACCTGAGCCTGACCTGGCCCTGGTGTCTCTCCCACACCCCTGCTGGGGTTCTGTCTGATGTGTCCTGTGGATCAGCCGCCTCTCCCCCTACCCCCAACACAGACTGCCACCGCATCTCAGAGACTGCACTGGGGAGACTTCTGATCCCACCTTCCCCTCTCCCAGCCCTACCTACGGACTGTAGGCTACACCCCGAGATTCAGGCCTCTGGAGCAGTGCCCCACCCAACCCCAAATCTCAGTTCCTCGGCTCTCAGGGGGTGCTTTGGTGGTTTTCTGAGCCCATTCTTGTTTAAGCATCATTGGTGCTTCCACTAGATTCACACTTGAGAGCATGGTTAAAAGGCTTTCACAAGGAGCTCAGACTGTTTGGAAAGATCTTCCTGAGAGGCAGTTCAGGGAGGCAGAAGAACAGTGTAATGGTACCTAAGAGCCACATTAACACAACAGCACAGCTACACAGGAACAGCTTAGCTATGACACAGTCACACTCACCCCTGTGGCTTGAGTACCACCTCCTACACAGTTTCCCGAGCCCTCTCTCTGTGCCAGGCCCTGGGGAGGGGTTTTTCTGCTTTCTGAGGAGTCTCCTTGTCACAGCACCCCCTGGTGGTGATTGTTTAGGCCATACTTCCTTTCTTCTGAGATTGCCCTTCCCCTCCCTTCCTTACACGTGAGGCTAGGGAGAGGCAGCCATATGGATGCAGGGTAACCCCACCTCTGGACCTCAGATGAGGGTCTGTGAGTAGACACCTGACCCAAGGTGGGCCAATCAGCACCTTTCTTCTGGGAATGTGGACATGGGGATCTTAGTTACCTGGCTGCTGGGGCTAGAGCTGGGAGAGTCTGACTGGGATCAGCTGGGTGGTTCTTCTGCTCCAAGTGGCATTGGCTGGGACTGCTGTCATCTGGTTCTTGGCCAGCTAGAGATGCTTTGGTGGGGACAGCTGAAAGGCTGGGCATCTCTCTCTCTCTCCCTCTGGTCTCAGGGACTTAACCCGGTTGTGGGTTCTCCAACAGGGGAACAGGACATCCTACATGGCTTCTAAAGCTTCTCAGGGCTGAGGCCCCAAATTGGCACAGCAACACTTTCACTGCATTTTATTGATCAAAGCAGTTGTAGACCAGCCTTAATCCAAAGGTTGTAGAGATAAACTCCACTTCTTAGGAGGAGAGTGACAAAGAACTTGTGACCATCTTTATTGCAGCACATGGGGTCACTGGCCTCCCTCACTGGGCCTGGTTACATTCCCTGCCTTTGACACTCATAAGGAAGGGGCTGGGGGGCAGAGAGGAATGAGGACCCCACCAAGCAGGCTGGGGTAGGGAAGGTGCTGGACAGGGAGACTGATCCAAGCCCAGAATCAGGGAGGGGCCCACAGAGTGAAGGCTGGGGTGACTACAGCTCCGAGCTGTAGAACCTGTAGGCCTGAGGCCACAGAAACCTCAGCAAAGTTAAAGTTAGCTGAGTAAGTTTATGTTTCACGCAAAGCTAGAGGTCTGACTCAGCTGTCCTCTTCACCTCCATTTCCTTCTACCTGTGTGAGGACCTAGGTGCTTCTCACTCTTTAATTCTGGGAAGTGACTAACTGTACTGGGTTCCAGCCCCTGCACCATTCCTCTGCTACCTGGTGAGTTGGCAAGGCCTCTCCCCTCTCTGAGCCTCACGGTCTACATCATGGAAGGAAATACTAGCACCACCTCCCAGGTGTCAAGGAGATATTGACTAGGAGGCTCTGAGCAAAGCACCCACTCACGTTTTGCATCCAGAGTGGAGTTGGCACTACTGCCACCATGTGGGGCATGGTTTCCTGGCCCGCACACCTGTCAGTTCCTCAGCTGCTTCCTCCTTCCCATCTGGTACCCACATCCTTCAAGATACTGTGGCCAACTGGTCTCCAGTGGCTGTGTCATCCAGGACACCTGTTACCTGCAGGGAGATCACCCCAGAGTGGACACCATGGTGCTTTGCAAGTCTTCTGCTCCTCAGCAGGGAGCTTGGCCCTCCTGTGTCTTGTTAACAGAAATCAACATGCCCTCCCCTCCTTCACCAGGAGGCAAAGATGAGGATGGTTTTGTCTCTGCTTTGAGCAGTGCCAGACTGAGTGTGCCGGGCTGGGCAGGCCAGGCGAGGAGGATGGTGTGAGCATGAAGCTTCTGAGGACAGCTGGCTGCCTCCAACATGCAGTCACATAACAAACCTTTGCAGTGCACCTCTGCCAGGCCCTCTTCTAGGCATTAGGGATAGCATAGGAAACAAAGTCCAGCAAATGTCACTGTCTTTATGGGATGACCCTCCACCCATTTCACAAGTGGATGAGTTGGGATTCCTGGGTTTATCTTTGCTGTCTCTGAGTGTCAGGCCCTGGGCACACAGTAGGGGCTCAGCAGATCCTAGGGTCCTCTCTCTTCCTGCTCTTCCTCCCTTGTTCACCGCGGGGGGGGGAGGGGGAGGGGGGGAGGGGCAGAGCATGGACCTGGTCCTGAAGGACCACCTGGCCTGGAGCTGGCCCTATGCCTGAGGGCAGAGAAGACAGAATTGGACCCTAGAGGAAGGGGCTGGGTGGGGAGGGAGTGAGGGCTCCTGCCAAGCAGCCTGGGGGTAGGGAAGGTGCTGGATGGGGAGAGTGATCAGAGCCCGGTGCCCACAGAGTGAAGGTGGGGCGGCCACAATTCAGTGCCTGAGATCGTGGCCGGACCTGCTGCTGGTCAGGCCTGGCTCAGGCTCTGGCTCAGGATGAGTGGAGGTGGGTGGAGGATCTGGGTCCTCTGGGGCTGACCCTCAGAATTTTTCATAAAAGCAACAGATGGGGGTGTGTTTGCATGCTCAGAACAACCACGGAGGTGGGGGGGAGTGCTTCCTGTTTCCAGCATTCCTGTCTGAGGAATTCCATGGCAGACTGGAGCATGGAGTGTAGAACAGCTGGCAAGAGAAGCTGTGAGGCCAACATCCTAGGAGCTGGGACGATGGGGCCGTGAGTCAGGGTGGAGGCGTGCACAGGCTCTTGATTGCAGGTGACAGAAATGTCAGCATGAGCACCAGTCAGCATGAGCACAAGAAGGGAGTTGGTAGGGTTCCATGACAGAAGTTCTGATATAACAAGCAGGTTAGGCTAGAGAAGCTTCAGGGCTGCAGGAAGGTTCCAAGCTCATGGTCGTCTGAGCAGCCTTGCAAAAAAATAATTGGGTCATCCTCTGGGTTGTGGTGATCACGGCCTAGCTACAGGAAACTTCATACCGACTGAACTGTTAGATTCTGACCAGACGCACCTGCAGCACTATAGTCCTTTTATCCAGGATTCTTGAGGTGGAGAGCCAACCACCAAGGCAGAAACTAGCTTAGAGACAACTTGGCATGTGTGCATGAAAGCCAGCGTTGACCTAAGACAGCCTTGACCCTCTTCCCTTCATTATACGCTCATTACAATATCATTAGCATTCTACAAAAATCCCCACCCCGAGTGTCATGACAGTCCTGGTGTGACCCTATGAGGCCTGAAACTCCCCCGCCTGATACGAGGGAGGAGTAACAGAGACTCAGTCCTAAGGTCACCCATTTCTGGGAAAAGCCCACCCCAATCTACTCCTCAGTACCCATGAGAATAAAAGTCATAGCTCCACAATAGCCAGGGGCAGAAGCAGCAGTGGGCTGTTTCTGGCCGCTGTCCTCTCTTGGGAGTGAGTTCCTCTGCGCAGTAAAGCTCCTTGCTCCTCTGTGTGTCTTTGTGAATTCATCACAAATGTGAATGCAAGAACCTGTTGTCGACCATCTCATGCCGGGAACAGTGCCTCTTCTCCCAGGAACAGATCCTGCGCTAAAGCCTCGATCTCTCTTTTCTCAGCTCTGGTCTTCTGGTCTCCACCATGGCCTCGTGCCAGGCAGGCCACCCTTGAGCGCCTCCCAAGTCCCACGTCACACCCTGCAGATTCCAGTCCACAGGACACAACCTCACTGGCCTGGATGGGGTCCTGTGCCACCCTGGAGCTCCCACCCTGGAACTGGGCACTGTGGCCAGGGGGATGCCAGACCCTGACTGGCCA